TCCACCAACACAACGGGTGACACCAGAGCCCTCCTGGCCTTCCTGCTGATAAAGGAGAAACGGAAGAACCCACTACTAGGTTTAGCCCCGTAAACAACCAACCCGAAGTGGACTCACGCATTTAATAAGGAAAAAAATTAGGTTTGTCAAAGTAAACACATTGTAAGAAATCAGGGGGCGTTCTAAAACCCTAACTAAAATCCAATGACTCTTTGCCCCCTGAAAATGAATAACATTTTAATAGACGGCTGCCTCTGGAAGCATAAGTCGATCATATATAGACGTTTAGGATCATAAATGGGTCCTACTTTGTTTCTCTTTCTCCATAACATTTGTCTCTGAGAAACACAGATCTATTTGTAGTTACCTCGAGGAAAGTGAATTTTCTTCTGCAAAATAAATTAAGTTTCTGAATTCATAATTATCGTGGCTTGACCTGGAACCAGGGCTAAGAACGCTTTCTATAATTTCTCTCACTTTAAATGAAACAAAATATCAAAGTGCAGCCTGATTGTTTCCTTGTCAGAACACAACAGAAATGTAAATACTGTGCTAAACTCGGTGTGAGGGATGCAGTCACAGGAATTACCATGCATGTCATTACTTACGCTGAACCACTGTATCCATGAAACAATAGCCATTTGAATAATTCCAGTAGATTGTTTCAAAAACAGTTTACCGTCATCCCAAAAAGTGCAAACGTGAGTTTTAAATATAATCCATATAAATGAATTTGCATGCAAACCCGCTCCATTCAGTGTTCCTAAGAGCCCCCATGCAAAATTCTAACATTGAAGAGAAATGGTTCTATATCAAGATGATATGATCCCCGTATCTTTCTTATTCAGACTCTTGAAGACACCTAAGTACCATAGGTTAGACCATAAAAGTTAAGCAGGGTTTCTCAGCCTTGCCTCGTGACATTTGCACCAGATCATTCTCTGTTGGGGGGCATTGCAGGACGGTTCACACCATCGTGGCCTCAACCCCCTAGATGTCAGTAGCGCCCTCCCCCCAGCTGTGAAAACCAAAAATCTCTCTGGACATTGCCAATATCCCACGGGGGCAAAAGTGCCCCGTTTGAAAACCACAGATATAAAGGGAGACAGAGGACCCCCAAGGCCTGGAAGGGGAAATTATCACCAACTTGATGCCAATGAGCCTGAAAACCTCAGGTGCTTCTCAGCGGGGCTGGGGGCTGACCTCAGCCCCTGGGGGCATCTGGCAATGTCCGGAGCCGTGTTTGGTGCTCACGGTCAGGGGGAGGGTCCTGGCATCAGTGGGTGGGAATGTGGAACGCTGCCCTCGTCCTTCCACACCCAGGACAGCCCACCACAGAGAATTCTCCGCTCCAAAATGTCAATAACAGTAATGAGTGTCTTTTAAACATTATCCCTACATTTCCATGAATTTCCACAGTTAAAGTTCTACCCAAAGGCAGAATCTGACAAAACTGCCCTTTTCAGCAACTTTGCCTGTAAACTGAAGGCAAGGCAGCTGCCGTGCCGGGGCGCTGGGGGGCTGGGTGTGGGGAGGCGCAGAGGGGGCGTCACAGGCCACTCTGGGGTTATCCGGGGCAGCAGGTGCCATGGAGGCTCCTCACGGGCCAGCTTTGCTGGCAGCTTCCGGAAATTGTCCCGAGAAGCCCGTTCCTCCAAGATGCAGTGTCCGCCGTGGACCAGGAGCCACACGTGGTCCCCTCCTCCCATGGCCACAACACGGGCTCCTGGAAGCGTGGAGGCTGTCAGGGCGGCCCTGATTCCCGTCCCCAGGACTCTCTGGTCTGCCCTGTTAGGCGTCTTGGTCCCCAGGGAAGGACAGTCCAGCAGGGAGTGAGTTATCCATGGAAACACAGGGATGCCCTGTGGACTGGATCTGGAGGGGGAGTTGGGAGCCGCTTAGGCTGCTGGACCGACAGGTGGCAAGGGCATCAGTGGGCCCACAGTATTAGGATGCAGCGGAGCTTCTGCTCCGAGCAAGGGCAGAGGGTCAGACCAGGGGTTCCTCTGAGTCCCTCACTGGCACCACCACATCCCCTGCAAAAGCTCACGGGAGCCTGCAGAGACCCCCGCAGGTAGGACCACCAGGAACTCAGGCATCTGAGGCAGGAAGCACACTCACTCACCCTCACCCGCAAAGTCAAGGTCTCAGACTAGCAGAGCCACTGGCCGGGGCCAAGGGGACGCGGAGCGGGGAGGGGAGACGGGAGCTACCCTCACCCCCGTAGTTCTTCTTCGCTGTGTCACGTATACATCTACAATGAAACTAAAGCAACCTGAACAACCTGTAACCTAGTTTCCGAAAGGCTGTGTTGGCTGTAGTTAGTACACAGGGCCCAGAAACCAGGAAGGGGTCAGGCTGAACTCAGTGAACTTTGTTCCCAGACCCTGACTAGGAGTTAGATTGTGCGATGAGTGGGGTAAAAGTAAGCGTGTTTGCATTTTATACGGGACGGAGGCGTTTACAACAGAGAGTGCTACTGGACAGCATGGGGATGAAGAATGGGATCCACGGAGCAGACTCCAGCGGTGGCTCCCACGGGGACCGCCCAGCATTTCCAAATAGGCTCCCTGCCCCTCTGTCACTTTCCCTCGCTGGGATCGACCCCTTCCCAAACGGTAACATGAGCACAAACATCAACAACAACAACAAAGGCGTTTTCCAGCCTTCCTGGCGGCCAGACGCAGGCAAGGCCCCCGGGTCTGGCCCCCGACCTTCCCTGCGTGGGAGCAGGTATCCCTGGAACAAGGCCTGTGCCCGGGTACCAGGGCATCTCCTCATCATGCGGGGCCCTGCAGCGGGGCTGACAGCCTCGTACAGAACATCTCTATCCAGCCCCACCAAAAGGTCTGTGATGTGCCTAACATCTTTTCTTTGCAATTAAGAACCCTACCTAATTCCTGGGAAAAATATGCAGCTGTCTCTCGCTAGCTGCAGGGAGTTTGATTAAAGAGCTGATAAGAGCACCGAAGAGACATCATGCCTTGTCTTTGCTGAACCAGAGGGGGAAGCAGTTTTTTGAAAAGAGAGAAGAAAAGGCTTGGTCTCCACCCCAATGTTCATTGCAGCACTATTTACAATAGCCAGGTCTTGGAAGCAACCCAAATGTCCATCAATAAATGGATAAAGAAGATGTGGTACATATATGCAATGGTATATTACTCAGTCATAAAAAGGAACAAAATTGGGTCACTTGTAGAGATGTGGATGGACCTAGAGACTGTCATACAGAGTGAAGTAGGTCGGAAAGAGAAAAACAAATATCATGTATTAATGCATATATGTGGAATCTAGAAAAATGGTAGAGTTGAACTGGTTTGCAAGGCAGAAGTGGAGACACAGATGTAGAGAACAAACGTATGGACACCAAGGAGGGAAAGCGGGGTGGTGGTAGTGGGATGAATTGGGAGATTGGGATTGACATATACACACTAATACGTATAAAATAGATAACTAATAAGAACCTGCTATGGGCTTCCCTGGTGGCGCAGTGGTTGAGAGTCCGCCTGCCGATGCAGGGGACACGGGTTCATGCCCCGGTCCGGGAAGATCCCACATGCCGCGGAGCGGCTGGGCCCGTGAGCCATGGCCGCTGAGCCTGCGCATCTGGAGCCTGTGCTCCACAACGGGAGAGGCCACAACAGTGAGAGGCCCGCGTACCGCAAAAAAAATAAATAAATAAATAAATAAAATAAAAAAGAACCTGCTGTATAAGAACAGAGAACTCCACTTTGCTGTACAGTAGAAACTAACACAACATTGTAAAACAACTCTACCACAATAATAAAATAAATAAATAAATAAAAAGGAAAGAAAAGTCTTGGTCTCCTCAAGGCTCTTCCACAAAACTCCCACCAAAAAATGACTGTGTTCCCAGCTATGGAGACTGACACCCCATGTCAACATCTTTTTCTGAGAGCATCAAGAAGGTAAAAGAAGGTCTTAGGACACGGAGGTGCAAACATGTGAGGTGGCACCAGGTGAGATGCACGAGGGGTAGAAGAGGAGGGAGGAAGGTCATCAGGGGGCCAGTGACAAGGGTCCACCTGAAATTTCAACATCGTTCATGCCTTAAATCTCTCCTGGAGTAAGAAATAAGACAGACTACAAATTGCCGCCTCTTCCTTTGAAAAACCAATGAAAGCCTCTTTCTATAAAGGCTTCACTGATTATTTTATTCATTGGCATCAGGGGAAGTCAAAGGTCACACCTCTGCTCTCAAATACACTCCAAATGTGAGTGCAGGTGGCTGAGTGGGCTGCGGCCCTCTGGGGGTTTCCTGAGAACATGCTGCCGCCCCAGGTGTTTTAGGAACGAACAGCAGTCAGATTGCCCCTGAAGGGACATCTGTGCCCCGTCTCACTCGCCATCAGTGAGTCTCCGACACACACGCAGAGCCACCGCCACAAACTCGTGGAAGCCCTTTATAAGCCTGGTAAGGTCATTCGACGTCCCTGGAGAAGCCCCATTCCGGGAGTGAGGTTTCACCGCGGTCACGCCCACGTGTGCCCGCAGAGCCCCTCCTCCCAGCACACATGTGACAGCACATGTGACATGTGACGCCAGCAGGACCAGAACCCAGACCTCATCTCACGCTCGCGCCCTGGATCTCCAGTGGCCCCTCCCCTCCTTCCCAACCACTACACACAAGCACCACATTTCTGAGCCGCTTACAGACACGCCTCCATCTGAGCAGTAAAGTCCTCTGCTAGAAACTGCGAGACTGCCCCCTGGGTATTTACCCACCTCCACCACCTCCATCACCTGCATCACCTCCATCACTGCATCACCTTCATCACCTGCATCACCTCCATTACCTGCATCACCTCCATCACTGCATCACCTTCATCACCTGCATCACCTCCCATCACCTGCATCACCTCCATTACCTGCATCACCTCCATCACTACATCACCTCCATCACTGCATCACCTCCCATCACCTGCATCACCTCCCGCCGTGTGGACATGGCCCAGAGGATGAAAGGGGTCACACGGTACCTGAGCAGTCCCCATGGTGGCGGAGCCAGTGCGGGCCAGGTGTTCACGGGCAGCTGCTGGGAAACCGGGCTGCTACGGCTGGGCCTCGGATGGTGGGAAGGCCTATGATGAGGAATGGATAGAAATGGGGAAAACATGATAAAAAAGGGTAAACAACCTCCCCCCCATGGAAAAAGAAACATATGGAATGTACATTAAAAAACATGACACTGAGCAATAATTAAATCAATCTAGAACAGCAACATGGCAAGAATGAAATAGGCAGAGACGCTGTACATAAAAAATAACACCAGGTATTTTTAAATAAGACCGTGGAACCGAGAACCCTGTAGGCACCTACATCACGTGGGCATTATGCAAGTATTTCGATTTTCAAGCTGGATTTGAGGTTATGATAGACAGATTTCCCAACTTCAAAATATTCACCCAAAGAGAAATAATAAAACCATACTTTAAATTAGGGGTGATGATTCCTCATATAACTTGAGGATGGAAACGATATTTGTGAACTTAGACTGGTTCTGCAAAGAGCCAGGCAGATTCCAAGAAACAAAAGAACAGTCCCAGGGAATATTGATAATCGATCATTTTCTTTCCACGAAAAAAAAGTGCTATCCCCAGATAAACCCAAACACAGCATTTTTTTAAAAGAGGTGCTAGTTCATATACCTTGATAAATTATAAAGCCTCTGCTCCTTTTTTTCATCGCATACTGATACACGAAATCACTGTTTCCCCCAAAATGAACCAGATGAAAGAGGAACATGCATTTTTTTGAGAAGACTTGTTTATAACAACACACTGGAAAGTGTGCTGTGCTTTATTCATACTGAGCTTGTAGGAACACAAACGCTCACCCACAAAACACTTCACATGGCCCTGAAACACCGTGGTCACATCAGATTAATTTCCACGAATCCGGAAGAGCTGCATGCTGTACCCCATCTTCTGAAAATCCTGTTTTGTCAGCAAAAGCTCTGACCAACCACCAGTCTGATCACATGCTACTAAACGTCATGTACTTACTTTCAAAGGTACGATCCTAAAAAGTTGAGAAAATGAGCCATTTCTTACTGTAGCAGGCACCCGCCACAAGCACTGATTACAATACACAAACTGGATATCCACCCTTGGTCTCCGGTAACCAGTTAACGCACATGTGTTGTGACTATCAATCTAAACTGTATATTAGTTCCAAGTTATTGAAGGTTAAAATGCCCGAGCCTCCCAGAATTGACATCTGGCTCATCTGCTGGACTAATTCACTTACTGTATCACCAAGATCTCTCCATGTCAGCACACAGTTAGGCACGCCTCCTTTTAATGAACTTTACTGCATTTCGCAGATACTGTGATTTTTACAAACTGAAGGTCTGTAACAACCCTGCATAAAGCAAGTCTGTTGGTGTCATTTTTCCAACAGCCTTTACTTGCTTCATGTGTCTAAGTCACATTTTGGTAACTCTCACTATTTCAAACTTTTTCATTAGTATTGTATTTGTTACGGTGATCTGTGATCGGTGATCTTTGATGTTACTATTGTAACTGTTTTGGGCATCACGAACCTCGCCCGTGTAAGACGGGAACTGAATCGTTAAACGTTGTGTGTGTTCTGATTGCTCCACCAGCCATTCCCCATCTCTCCCTCTCCTCAGCCTCCCTGAGATACAACAGTATCGAAACTAAGCCAGATAATAACCCTACAAGGGCTTCTAAGTGTTCAAGTGAAAGGAAGAGGTGCACGTCTCTCACTTTAAGTCAAAAGCTAGAAATGATTAAGCGTAGTGAGGAAGGCATGTCAAAAGCTGAGACAGGCTGAAAGCTGGGCCTCTTGCACCCGTCAGCCAAGTTGTGAGTGCAAAGGAAAAGTTCTTGAAGGAAATTGAAAGTGCTCCTCCAGTGAACACACAAATGATAAGAAAGCAAAACAGGGCTTCCCTGGTGGCGCAGTGGTTGAGGGTCCGCCTGCCGATGCAGGGGACACGGGTTCGTGCCCCGGTCCGGGAAGATCTCACATGCCGCGGAGCGGCTGGGACCGTGAGCCATGGCCGCTGAGCCTGCGCATCCGGAGCCTGTGCTCCGCAACGGGAGAGGCCACAACAATGAGAAGCCCACATACCGCAAAAAAAAAAAAAGAAAGCAAAACAGCCTTATTGCTGATTTGGAGAACGTTTCAGTGTCTGGTTAGAAGATCAAATCAGCCACAACATTCCCCTAAGCCAAAGCCTCATCCAGATCAAGGCCCCAACTCTCTTCAATTCTGTGAAGGCTGAGAGAGATGAGGAAGCCGCAGAAGAAAAGTCTGAAGCTAGCAGAGGTTGGTTCATGAGGTTTAAGGAAAGAAGCCGTCTGTATGACATAACAGTATAAGGTGAAGCAGTAGGTGCCGATGTAGAAGCTGCAGCAAGTCATCCAGAAGACCTAGCTAAGATAATTAGTGATTTTCAGTGTGGATGAAACAGGCTTCTCTTGGAAGAATATACCATCTAGGACTTTCATAGCGAGAGAGGAGAAGTCAATGCCCGGCTTCAAAGCCTCAAAGGACAGACTGACCCTCTTGTTAGGGGCAAATGCAGCTGGTGACCTTAAGTGAAAGCCAACGATCATTTACCATTCCGAGACTCCTAGGGCTCTTAAAAATTATGCTAAATCTACTCTGCCTGTGCTGTATAAGTGGAACAACAAAGCCTGGATGACAGCACATCTGTTTATAACATGGTTTACTGAATATTTTCAGCCCACTATTGAGACCTACTGCTCAGAAAAAGATGCTTTCAAAATATTACTGCTCATTGACAAGGCACCTGGTCACCCAAGAGCTCTGATGGAGATGTGCAATGAGATTAATGCTTTCAGGCCTGCTAATGCAATCTCCATTCTGCAGCCCACAGATCAAGGAGTAATTCCTACTTTCAAGTCTTATTATTTAAGAAATATATTTCATAAGGCTGTAGCTACCAATAGCTACCATAGACAGTTATTCCTCTGATGGGTCTGGGCAATCGCATAAAGTCAATTGAAAACCTTCTGGAAAGGAGTCTCAATTCTGGGTGCCATTAAGAACATCCGTGGTTCATGGGAAGAGGTCAACATATCAACATTGACAGGAGTTTGGAAGAAGTTGGTTCCATCCCTCATGGATGACTTTCAGGGGTTCAAGGCTTCAGGGGAGGAAGGAACTGCAGATGTGGTGGAAACACAAGAGAACTAGAATCAGAAGTGGAGCTTGAAGATGTGACTGAATTGCTGCAATCTTGTGATGCAACTTGAAAAATGAGGAGTTGCTTCTTATGGATGAGCAAAGAAAGTAGCTTCTTGAGAGGGAATCCACTCCTGGTGAAGATGCTGTGAAGGTTGTTGAAATGACAACAGAGGATTTAGAATATTACAGAAACGATAAAGCAGCAGCAGGATTTGAGAATATTGACTCTACATTTTTTTAATGTTGCTTTTTAAAAAATTGTTTTTCATATTCTTTTCCATTACGGTTTCTTACAGGATATTGAATATAGTTCCCTGTGCTATACACTAGGACCTTGTTTATTGGCTGCAATTTTGAAAGAAGTTCTGTGGGTAAAATGCTATTAAACAGCATCACCTGCTACAGAGAAATCCTTCCTGAAAGGGTCAATCAGTGCAGCCAACTTCAGTGTTGTCTTAAGAAACCGCCACCCCAGCCTTCAGCAACCACCACCCCGATCCGTCAGCAGCCTCAACGTCAAGCCACAACCCTTTCCAGCAAAAGATTACAATTCACTAAAGGCTCACAGGATGGTTAGCGTTTCTTAGTAATACAGTACTTTTTAATTAAGGTAAGTACATTGTTTTTTTTAGGCACAATGCTATTGCCCACTTAATAGACTACAGTATAGTGTGAGCATAACTTTTATATGCACTGGGAAACCAACAACTTTGCGTGACTTGCTTTATGGCGGTGGCCTGGACTGGAACCCAGAGTATCTCAGAGCTGTGCCTGTACTTAATTATCTTTTTCTTGCCTTGAAGACTCACAACTGGCCCTACAAATCCCTTACTGTGACGCATTTGTGTTGTTTCCAGTTTCCTCCAACTGGTAACAATTCCGTATATATTTTTGATTGCTCTCAGTGAGTTTATGCAGAATAGGTTTCTATGAGTAGAATTACTGGGTCAAAGGATATCCACATTATTAGCCCCAAATACTGCCCAAACATTTGTACCTATTTACCCATCACATAGTATCAATTTTGTTTGTTTTTGCCTCTGTTGAAAAGAAAGTTTCTCATTGTTTTCATTGAGTTTCAGGGCCTTTTAATATGACTATTGATCAAATGTATTTCTGTATAAGTTGTCTGTTCCATAGATTAGCCTACTTCTTTGGGGTAATAAATTTTTAATTACCAAACAAGTATCTCTTTATAAATTCCAGAATTTTATACTTCTGCTCTGTAGGTTACAAACGTTTTATTTCATTGTCATTCATGTGTTAACTTCATCAATGGTATCTTGCAACAATTTACATGGGTTTAACATTATTTATGTGTCCAAATATATCAATCCTTTCCTTAACCGTTTCTGTGATTAGAAAGATCTTCCCAATTCCACAATTTAAGAGATATTTTCTATTAACTTTTCTTTTAGCCCGTCTATAACTATTTTTAATGACTGGAACTTTTTAAAATGTATTTGAAACTTTTTTGAGTTGTGAAATAGAAATTAATTTTTTTCTCTCCAATGGCAACCAGTTACCACAACAAATTGGCCAAATAATCCATATTTTCTCCACCAACTTGAAAATGCCACTTAAATAGAGAAGTTTGTTCTGCAGATCTGTCTACCTTCTGTAGCATTAGAATGAGATTTTTCTCTCCAGTAGACCAGAACTCCCACCATTCAGATTTTTCTTTAAAACTCTTTTTTGGACAATCTTGTGAATTGATTCTTCTAGTTAATTTTATTATCCCTTAATTAACTCCTCTCTCCCCACCTTTATTGCCCTTCCAAACAGGATTCTGACTAACATTACAGCATACGAGAGCACATGTATGTACACACATGCACACACATGCACACCTGAAGGGAAGTGATGTGTTTCAGTACTGAGTTTCCCACTACAGTGTCTC